CTACTGGGAGATCAGTCTGCCAAAAAACTTTCTCCTCAAAGTCAAAAAGTGGTAATCAATTTCATAAAGAAATGGATGTTGTCTATCAGCCTCTATTGTATTGTTCTAAAGTTATCTGACTTTGCATAGAGTCATTTGGAGATGAGCCCTCTTCCCCTGTTTGCTTATTAATTTAGTCAGTGTATGGTTTGATATGAATGATGTGGTGCTTAGGAAATACTCTCACAATTTATTCATTTTTGAGGCTCAAAAATTTGAAACAAATGTATCAGTTCAAGCTTCTGGCTAAGTCCTCTATTTTTATGCCCCTGCCGTTACTGGAGGGGTATTAAGTGTTACCATTGTCTGTCCATCCGTACGTCCTAAAATTGGTTTCCGTTCTGTAACTTTAGTTTGCCTTAATCAAATTTTATGAAACTTATACACAATGATTATTTCCACAAAATACAGATCAAGATCGAATTTGAGTGGCTGCACTTTTACTGTTATCGAGTTATGCCCTTTTATATATGCAAGCAGGGGCATCATCTTTTTTATGATTATCCTAATAGAAAGCATTTAAAGTGAACAGCTTTACTAAATAAAGAGTCTTTTATTTTTACTAATCTGTATTTGACACATTTAAATGAATGTCTGAATTCTCCAGATTTTTTTTCAACACAGTAAATTGGCTATACACAGGTGTTCATTTGCTTAAATGCTCTGCTGTGCGTACTGTGGATTATCTATTATAAATGGGATACCAATTTTCGTATATGTAATGAGTATGGATACACTATAAATTTAAATGTTCAACAAATTACAATTTTTTTATAGACTAATACATGTATATGCAAACTTTGGAAAAACCATAAATTTGAATATCCATGAAAATAAAGAAATCGACAGTATTAGTATTTATTGTCCCTTTGGCATTTTAGTGATTTTTTCTATGTCAGCAAATTTTTATCTATATTTGAACACATATTATAAATCATTAATGCAGTCAGAATTTCACATGAGGGTGTACTGTCATGATTTTCTGTAGACATCAGACAAGCTCGCATGTTAATCCGTACTAAACTTTTTTTTAATAAGCAAGAAGAAGTCGTACTTGCCCGTAAATGTGCATTAAATCACTAGAGCTAGGTGGCCATGGTAGAAGTTAATTAAAAAGTCTGTTGGTTTTTCTAACAGGCCTAAATAGCATTCAGTAAACTATTTAATTCAGTGATACTGTCTCTTATGTGGATTGCCGTAATGGAACGATTATTACCCTTGGCGCTTATGTAGCTATTCAATTGTATTAATCACTTATCGAAAAACAGTGCCATCCAAGAGATTGTCACTTAATGTCGAGATATATTTGTCGTATACACACATAATGTGTCCCCACATGACAACAAATTTAAGCTATTGAACGGAATATTGATTTCACCCCTTAACTCGTTGCGACGTTTGCGACCAAATGTGACATTAAGAATTTCTATCATCTCTATATAAGCTCCATTATTATTTAAAATTGTCCTCTGAGTAAAGTGTCCCTTGAGTATACTGGGTTTCTCACTCATTTAGTGAGGGCAATTCAATCCTTCTGTAGTCAACTAGATTCTATTATCGCATTGATTATTCTTTGTGACATCATAGTTTTTAACTGTTATTTAAAGTTTCATATTCAAGATTTAATATCCCACGGGACAGTATATACTTCTTTGCATTGTCAAAATAGAGAATGAATTTTATCCTGGGAATTTACACAAATTAATAGTTCAATTACATCTCCATCATCTGTCATCGGCGTGACAGTATCCTTGTAGAATCTGTGAAATCTCTTTCCAGTTTCCAAAACCACTGGTTTGTCATTCATTTGGGTTTGTTAAGTGAATTGTTGACAAAAATGAAGCAATTTCCAATGTCATTTTTCAAAACTGACAGTCATTCCTACACTGCTTTGAATATCTGGATAATTTCCTTTCAAAAAAGATGAATCAATGATATTTTGATGAAGAGCACAAGTGACATTTATATTGCAGAATCTTGAGACACTTATTGCATTATCCAATTAATGATAATTAATTCCTTGTGGATCATCAAGTATTGGGTATCATTACGTGGGAACATAAATTGCTGCTAAAGTACTTCCTGTTTCTAGGTATTATGCATTAAATATTTTTGTTAAAAATGACAAATTGATAAAGTACAAAAACAGGTATAAATGTGCAATCCTTATTTTCAGTGATGTGTCGTTGTGTTGTTTCCCATTGTTGATAACCCTTTCATGACTTCAAAATGTTCAACAGATAATTTTAATGCCTGTCCTTCATATAAGTTCTACTTCATAGATATATGTTCTTTGGATTTTCATGAGATTTGTTTCTTTTGATAATTCATTTTTTTTCGTTTGAATCAAAGGCTTAAATGAAAGAAGTAAGGGAAGGGTAGGGAACCAGTACAAGATGTGCCATTCATAAATTATAGTACTCTTTGTTTCATAACTAAAATTTGGAAAGAAAAAAGATCCTTGTTCTTTGGTTTAAAAAATGAATTTTAGGATAACCTACTAACCCATTGGTGGCCTTCGGCTGTTTTCTGCTCTTTGGTCGGATTGTTGTCTCTTTGACATATTCCCCATTTCCATTCTCAATTTTAAGAGTGAGACAGCAATACATTATGATTTGAGACAGTTCATAGATTATTGTAGCTATGTTAAAATGACCTTAACCCAAATAAGATAGACTGTTATTGCAATTTTAAAATGAACGTTTTTTTCATTATATTATTTCGTTGTTATTTAATTTGGACTGAATTGACACACTCACCAAATAGAAATGTTAGAAAAATGGCAAAGGAGTTCTATAGAATTAAAAACTAATTGAAATGTGTGTAAAATTATACAAAAATTTCTGCATTAATAAATACAAAAATTAATACATTAAGCTATCAAGTCAAATGAGTTGAAAATGTTATTAGCCCTTGTAAAGTGAATGAACATGACTTGCTGCCAGAAATGACAGAGAAATAGAGCAATATTTGCCTGCCATTATGAAATAATAAAAAATAAGTAGCAATCAAGTACAAATCAATTTTCAATTGAATAAAAGAGTTTATATCGAAGAATTATAATAGAGTTTCCCTTGAAGAAGTACAGTTGTCTTGGCAAACCATGTGAGATCTCAAGCAACACACACATGGATCCCCAAAATCACTACTCGAAATGCATCATGAAGAATATACTTCAAATGTAAAAATTGCCTATAGACAAAGTGATGTGCCACATACATTTCAAGAAGTACTTTATTTTACATTTTCTTTAATGAGTGTCTATCTGTCTAAATGCCAAAAAATCAAATTTGACGAATTTTCTTCAAGTTCCTTCGACATGACACTAAGAATTATGGCCCTTAGACTTTCGGGGGGGTGAGGGGGATCTCACTTTTGTCTTGCACACTTTGATTACAATAAATTGGCATAACAACAAAAGATGTTAGAAAACTTATCCAAGTAACCTAATTGTTCCTTCGAAATTGTTTTTACACAAAATTAAAGACAGACCATCTGCAAATTTTGACAAGGCAATTTACTTAGTAAGAAGCAAGTCATGTCAAAATTATTTTATATAAATTGGCACTAGTACACATTCATCTTCCACATAAAATATCAAATTCACCTGTGTTTTTTAAGAGTCTGACAAATAAATCTACGTCATCAATTCTTCTTTTCAAGATCACATTTTTTTTTTTAACTGGCAACTGTAGACCAAGCTAAATATCAAAATTTGACAGTGTGGAAGAAAGAGGCTACATCTCTTTAACAACATATGTTTAAGCTTTCTGGCAGAAAATATTGCATAGGATGTGCATAGCTGCTAATTCACTGTCATGCGACTCCAACTTGAGAATCTACCAGATGATAGAAAAATTAGTTTTCCAAAACAATAAGTGCAAGGTTGATGAGTGATGTTGCAGTCGTTGAGTCAATTGTAAGGCGATTAAGGCGTATTGAAGATATACGGCATAATGTCCTCAAGATCGGTGAAGTACCTTGTTGTGGGAACCGGAACTTAACAATTATACAGATATTGACTGTCATTAAGTTATATAGCATATTGCTTGACAGAGACTCTTATATTTGTCATTGTCTCCTTGATAGGTCCTTTTCATGATGCATCACTGTCTTTGATGAGGCAAAACATTTCGGAAATAATTAAGTATAAATCACATAAAACACGCTGGTAAATTACAGTTGTTTGATGTTTTTGTGGCAGTGCTTAAAACACACTTTAGACTTCATTCAGACTGTCATCCATTTTTTTGTCATATGTATCTAAAGGATCATGGGAAAAATAATCTTTTTTTCTCATGAATGAAAATACCAGCATTATGTACAAAATTGTATACTTTTCGCATTGTACTATTTCTTTTATTATTGTAGTAAAGAAGCTTATAGTAATTAAACCCTTTTTAAATCATTTCTTTTAGTCAATAATCAGAAATATATCATCTGAAAGATTTATCTTTTTTTTCTTTTATGCAATCAATCATTTAAAAAATACTGTAAACACATTTGATTCAAGAATAATTTTCTCTTTTTAAATTTTGTTCGTGTTGCTGTCTCCTATTTTTAAACTCCATCCATACTGTACAAAAAGTGAAGAAGACAGTAAAAAAGATAGACAAATAGAAAACGAAGTTTCTTCATTACTTGTGTTTAAAGTAACTCAAAAATTAAATAAATATTTTATTAATTGATTTTTTTCAAAGGTTTTGTATTATTCAGTAACTTTTTCATCAATAGTGCAAGCATTAATTGATTAGATTTGATTTATCGCATGTCTCATTTGTTACAAACCAAAGAAGTTTAGAAGGTACAGTGTAAACAATATGCTTGGCTATAATGCAACTGTTTTAAATTAATGGGACTTAAGCGATAATGTTTCAAATATAAAGATACAACCTCAGCATGGGTTTCCATACATGTGTGAAGTAATTTGACTCACATGATTAACTTTTCATGCTTTTGTTGGACATTTTATCTCTTCTTTTCTTAGAAACGTCAGTGAAAAGAGTTTTGTCTTAGAACAGTGTATAAACTTTAAATTTCATTGGACAACTTTTTGAAATTGACATATTAAAAAAATTATTGACTTAAAAAAATATAAATCTTTGTAGATATGGATGCTTTCATTGGATGATGGGTTTGAAATGAAAGTGTGTGACTTTATTCAGAAACTTGAAACTGATTTAAGATTAACTGTTAGTAATTTTAAACTGCTTGTCACAATTTCTTGAAACAAATTCTCATTCTACAACAGACTTGATAAAACAAGCAAAGATGAAGACTTTAATGGAAGATAAAAAATTTAATCCATGGATGTCATCTTCATTACTGGACTATACAAAAATGGACCAGTATAAGAGAGTTATGAACTTTGTCAATTTATCCAATGCATTGACGCCACGCCTTTGTTTTCAGGCTATCAGATGTACAGTACCAAGTTGTGCCTGTGAATGTTTCACGCCAGGCAAGGACAATCTAAGAAACTGTGAATCCTGCAAGCATGGTTGGGTGTCCCATGGTAAGTTATATTCTTATTAACTTAGAATATGTTAGATATAGATGACGTAGCCAAAGCAAAATTGATATATCCAAATTGTTTTGGACTCTGAGAAATGTTATCTGACAAGTAATTAATTTTAAGCAAGTTTAAGTGGATTTTTTTTATTCTGTTAGTTTCATATCCACATAAGAATGAATCTAGGTGAACATATTTCAGATTTCTTTGTATTTCAAAATCTGTCCTGATAAATTTAGGAGAACGTCTTGAAGATTTTACACTAACAGTATACTGTGTCTTTGGCCAAGTTTACATTGTACTATCTTTATGGTGTACAAGTTTTTTCTCAACAAGACTGAACTAGTACATTTTTTAAAATAAAACTTTACAATCAGCATTGTTTCAGTAGCCAATAAAATTCTAGTTTCACTATAATTTCTTTGAGAAATTCAAAAAAAAATCATATATTGGTACAGTGGGAGATCTTTAAAGAAAATGATCTGAAATCATACTGGGGTAGTTTGGCTTTAGATTTAAATCAACAGTTGGACTGTCGGTAGCAACTGCAGTTCAAGGTACCAGTGTAAGCAAGTAGGCATAGTCCATATATCAGCAATGTATATACTGGTAATCACTTTATGACGTGATTCAGAGATAAGTTTTAAATGTAAAAATTAGAACTTACCCTTACTTCTATATATTTATGCCATGTGTGTATCATTCTGGTTTGCAGAAAAGCAGGAAATATCCAGGGGTAAATGAAACTTCCCAGTTAATGCCTTGAAAGTTTCCATGTGGCTTATAAAAATCTTATTAAATATGAATTATGTGAAGAACAAATCAAGGTTTTTCAGTCACAGTTGATTTTAAGATATTGATAAAGGATTATATTACTTTGAATTTGAGTTTATGTCCAGTTAGCAAAATACATATTGATGTTCCTGATAGTAGAGTTTAGGTAAACATTGTGTATTGATGATTTCAGAAGAGTTATTTCTTTCTGTGGATTTATTATAATTTGAAAGATACCAATTTTCTTGGGTCCAGGTTAACTGCTAATTTAAATGTTAAAAGAAGTACAAAGGCGTGTATGCAGACTTTTTTTGTAAAACCTGAAAACTAAATATCCATGATACTATAATTTTTTTTTTAATCCATGATAATTGCTATCATAGAAAATAAGCGAATCGACAGTATTTTTAAATTCTTTTGCTGAAAGTATACTACAGTCATGGGGTATAAAAGTGCAAGTAGAAAACATAAAGAAGTTGACATCTGCTGAAAGAATGGAATAATAGTTATAAACTATTCTTTATGTCTTTTTTAGAAATGTGAAATTTAAATTGCCTGACAATGTTTGCTTTTGATCCAAAGATGTTTGACAAGAGATAGATAGGAACTTCTGTCTATTTAAGTCATGCAGAACTCTTACTAACAGTTTAAAGCACCTCAAAAATGGCTATAACCATGCATTTATATTGTTTGTAACATGTGCACACAATAGTATTCCACTTTAGAATACCATATCATGTACTTTTTGTTGGAAACAATTGTCTTCTTTCCTTTGATGTACACTTAGAAAGTCATGAAATAACAATACACCTTGCAGTAATGGCTGAGTGTAACCCAGGTGCCTCTTTCGTGAATTTATATGGTCGTTTTGGAGGTAAATGTTTACTGAATTCACTTTTTTATTAGTAATCTGAGTTTTCCTCAGAAGCCAGTAGCAGGCTAAATAGCATATTTCACAATATTTTGGCTTTCTACTTTACTGTCAGACATGAAAGTTATCAATAAAAACTTTACTTAAATTGAATGCCCTACCTGCCACTTTTTAAACTCAGTCCATTACAAAAAAAAAAAAAAAATTATGGGGGGGGGGGGGGACACTGAGTATGATTTGACAGTTGTAGTTTACATTCCCAATAGTTAGTACCTAATACTTGCCTTTTAGTACCTAATACTTGCCTTTTAGTACTTAAGCAAAGGTGAATCTTTTTTCAAACAAGAATCTCAGAGAGGGTTACATTTAGTCATTCATGGAATGGCAACCATTTTGTACTAATGGATTTTCATTGATATTTAACTACTAGTTCAGTAAGTAAGTATAATTTGTGGAACCATTATCAGTATCTTGAGTTACCCTACCATCACTAAATCATTGTAAACTGTTAAGTGTGCTGGAACATCAGTCACAGATGTCTTCAATAGTCAACTACTTCAAACTGGAGAAATATCAGAAATTTTTTTATTACTCGACAATTATGCTGAAGTCTTTGATGTCATATTTATAACATCTTCCTTCAAATTTATAAGATGTGATCATGTTTATGCAGAAAAACTAAAGAGATTTCCAGGTGTTTTCCGCTGTCAGCTGTATGCCTGCTAAAATATTTTAGAGAACTGTAGGACATGATAACTGACAATCACTTATTTTTAGGTTAATAACCTGTAAAATTTTAAAAAGGAGTGTTTTTTTACAGTAAAACCTTTCTCTTTTATCATATTGCTTGCTGAATTTTCCAATCAGTGCTTCTATGCCAACATTTTTTGGAGCAGTCATACCCTTTAAAAGGGGGAGGATTATATTTTGGGGGCATTCAAAAACCATTAGTCAAATAAAAACAGATATAACCATGGCCAAAATAACAACAGCTAAAAATTTGTGCAACAGTTTACAAAGCGTATCTACTTACAAAACTTAAGATTGAGCAACAAAAACAGGGGTGAACTCTTGAGGGTAAGAAATTCCTGCTCCACTTAATTATAAAGGGTCGAAGACAACAGAGCACAGATTAATGTGCAGTTGTTATTCACAATCTATATGAGTAAATATTGTCAATGTGGTAAACAGAATGAATTAGTCAACAACACAGAGATTTCTGTATTTCAAATTCTCATGTTTGACAGCAACCCAAAAACACAAACCAATTAAAAGATTAAACATGCATTGTATATAATCTTTGCTTCATTTTTGTATGGTAAATGATTAATTAGTAATCTGATACTATAAGTCCTTCTTTTAAGTCTTTAACTCTAATTTGATTCAGTACAAAGATGTCAAATAAAACTAGACATTGAAATAAAATGAAAACTACTTTCCCTTAAATTAAATAAGAACAAATTGACAATTTGCAGACAAGCTTTTAGCTGATTTCTCTTGTTAAATAGAACAAAATAAATAAAGTCCTTTACCAGTGGAGTTAGCTATTAAACTAATCCAGTTAATATGAGCTAATATTATTTTAATGTTTAGAGAATCAGCAAAATAGTTAGCTATTATTGTATTTGATCAATGTAGGAGATTGCTAACGTCCCTTTGGAAGCTCCACGATCATTAAATAAAGATCAATGGCCTTGTTATACTATCATAGCATCGCTGAAAATGGAGACATTGGAGAAACCAAGTCACACAAATAGTTTAACTGTTTGTATTACATATGGAACCATTTAAAATCCAATTTAAGACCAGTAATGCAAATTTGAAATATTCCTTTGTGTTTGGGAATTTATTCATGAAATATTAATTTATGGTGTTCATAAATCACACAGAGAGACGAGGCTTTTATGATGGAAGATGTTAGGGATCATAGTCCCTTAGTCCCTTGAGTCTTCAAAACTAAGAGAAAGTATTTGAAAGAAATGATTTAGAATAGGTCTGATGTAATTTTATATAGGCAATTTTTCTTCAAAAAATCTGATTTATATTCAATTGTATTCAAATGCATTTATTTACCTGGTGGCCTTAAGCACTAACCATTTCCTTTTTAAGGGGTGTTGATAATATAAATCAGATGAGGATTTTTTTTCAATGTATAATTAGGTCAGCAGAAGTCTGCAGTAACACATCTATTTTTTATTATAAAAAGTTTGGAAAAAAGAGTAATTTTGGGACAAAAAAAAATCTTAACAGTTTGAACACACTTTTTTTTTTTTAAACCCATGCCTTTTGATTGAGTAAAGCCATTTCAATTGATATTTTATAGTGTGTTTTTCTATGTTGTGATGTTACACTATTGTTTCAGATAAGGGTGAAGGTTTGGTACCATTAAAACGTTTAAACCCGCTGCAATTGTTTGCACCTGTCCTAAGTCAGGAATCTGATGTTCAGTAGTCGTCGTTTGTTGATGTGGTTCATAAGTGTTTCTCGTCTCTCGTTTTTTATATAGATTAGACCGTTGGTTTTCCCGTTTGAATGGTTTTACATTAGTAATTTTTGGGGCCCTTTATAGCTTGCTGTTCGGTGTGAGCCAAGGCTCCGTGTTGAAGGCCGTACTTTGACCTATAATGGTTTACTTTTATAAGTTTTGACTTGGATGGAGAGTTGTCTCATTAGCACTCATACCACATCTTCTTATATCTATCTACCACTTGTCAAATTGTTGGTGGCTATAAAGCCAAGTCAGATACTGATAAATATAAAGATCAGTTTGGTCATGGGTAGGTTGCAAAAGTTATTTAAGTTTGCATTTTTCGTTCCACTTTGCTTTTTAGCTTGACTTATAAGTGTGAGTTGGTTTTGTCATTTCCTTGGTTTTCTTTATTAATAGAATGAAAGTTTGGCTGTGGAAATGTCTTAATTACAATTTTGTAATTATTAGTCACTATTGATTGTACATGCATTTACTGTTTATGTAACTTTCAGTCATTGTATTTGTTAATTGAAAATTCCATTTGCCCTTTATTTGGTGTAATTTGAATTTGATAATATAACAGTTTTTTCAAGGATTTAATTTTCATGTCAAAGGTTCTCTTTAAATGATTTGTTAAAATATAAGCCAACAAAAAAATAAAACCCAAGTCTTTCTAAAAATTTGCATTAAATTTTCATTAAAACCAATTTGTTTTAGTGCCAGCAAAATCTAATTTTATTTATTTTGCAGAAAATTTATTTTGAATTTTATCTTTTCTCTGTAAAACATGTCCATAGATTTGTTGCATAAAATTATGAAAACCATGAATAAATTTCTTTGGTATGAAAATTGACAGGAAGCGTGCAAAAATGATTATAGTTTTTAACA